CGCTGGCTCTATGGCTTGGAAACGGGGATGAGCACCGCCCCCTAGAGTCGAACACGACTGGACAAAAACTGTCAAGGGGAACCTTTACCTTTTACCTTTACCTTAATATACAGAGGAGGAGCAGGATCTGTTCTCAATCATCTCAGAGTATAGGGCATGTAATAATGCACTCAAGCGACAGGAAAGCCAGATTTAGGCTGAACATCAGGAAAAACTTCTTAACTGTTAGAGCAGCATGACAATGGAACCAACGGCCTCAGGAAGTAGTGAACGCTCTAGTGTTGGAGGCATTCGGGGGGGAAATTGAACAACCATCTATCAGATCTTTCCTGTCTTGAGCAGGTAGGGCATGTAATAATGCACTCAAGCGACAGGAAAGCCAGATTTAGGCTGAACATCAGGAAAAACTTCTTAACTGTTAGAGCAGCATGACAATGGAACCAACGGCCTCAGGAAGTAGTGAACGCTCTAGTGTTGGAGGCATTCGGGGGGGAAATTGAACAACCATCTATCAGATCTTTCCTGTCTTGAGCAGGGGATTGGACTCAATGGCCCTTCTAACTCAAATCATTCTATGATCGTGTGATATTAATTGATCCTCTGAAACAAAGAAGAAAAGGTGGTATTGTCTTTAAATAATTTTTGTGTGTGTGCTTTTTAAAAAAGAGAGTAAATAGTGCCAGAAAATATTGACATTTATTTTCTTAATACCCACTGGTAGATTTACCTCTCCAGTTCGGTGCTCTGGGGAAAAGCTCCTAGTGGCTTTGCCCTGTTTACACCCTTGTATTTGCAGTATCTGGGGTGATATTGACTGACCTTACAGGGCAGTAATGTGGTTGTGTTGTAAGTTAAGGGGGTCAGGCTGAGCTTTGGAAATCCAGGTCCGTGTGCCCTTGGAACAGGGTGAATGCACCCCTGAGTTGATCATGTCCTACCCCATACGGTTGTTACAAGGATGTCATGGGTGGTGGGGAAGAAGAGCAGTGTAAAGCATCTGTAAGCTCAGTGCAAGAAATCTGAGATGCATGAAACTCATAAATGAAGCACAAAGCAGGTGAAGCCTTTGAGAGGTCTGGAAGTTCTATACAAATGTTAAGTATTATTTGGTATTTGATTAAAATCCACAATTTGGGTCTATGTGTTGCAAAGATACCACTTGGGGAGGGAAAAGTCTGGCATTCATGGAAACTATTCAGAAATGTTGTGTACCCAGAATATATATTCAGGGGAGGAGAGAAACTACAGAGAAGGGAACATAATAATTGGAAAGGACTAAACCATCTCAGAACCACCATTGTTTTAGTAGAAGTCAGTTCAAGGGGTGAAAAGGGGTCAAGAAGAATTATGGTCCTCAAGTCTCCCTGTTTTCTCCGAGTCCTCATGTTAGCTGGTGGTGTAGGAATAAATTTTCCAATTGATTGAGATCTGTCCTTATAATAGAAAGTGCTTTTAGGTGATGAGCAGAACACTTTCAGGTGTCCAACAGGCAATCAAGATCCATTAGCTTTACAAAAGATGTGCTCTTTGTGGAAATGGAGACTGCCAGAACTAGTTTATAGAAATGGAACCGCGTTGCTGCCTGCATTTTTAGAGTCTCCTTGGAGGTGTGGATAGAGGGCTTGTCTTGATGAACCCTTGTACCACTAGATCACTAGAGCTGTCTGTTATGGACCACAGTATTTAGCTATATATCTGCAAAAGAGGTGGTAGGGATTGCCTTACTCTCTTCTTCTCAACTCGACAAGAGCCCAGCAGTAGGACCACTGTACGCACAGGATCGGGAGCGGTAGTTTCACTTATCCACATTCTGAAAATATTAAAAGAAAAATGAGAAATAAGCATATTCCAATCTCCAAACCCTTTCCTTAGGCAATCTGAGGAAGAAAGGCTATATCATACTAAACACAAAGTTTGCATGGTTTGTGAAAGACATTCTCTCATCTTTTGAAATTGAAAAAAAGGGAGGGGGGGAGAGCTAGAAGTTAGCAAAGAAAGAAACTGGGAACCAAGGTCAAATCATCCATATTAAGTGAAAGAAAGATAGGACAAAAAGCACATTTGAAATACAGTGTTGGAGGAGAGCCTTATGGATACGACAGCAAGGTAGAAAAATGTGTGCTCCATCAAGTAAAGCCTGAAGGAGCAAAAATGAGTAAACTGGGGCTACCATGCACATATAATGACAATACACAACTGACCAGAAAAGATAATACTGCTGAGGAAAAGTAGGAAAAGAGGAAGACCAGATGAGATGTTGGTTTGCAAGATCTGAGCAGAGCTGTTAATGGTAGGACATCTTGGAGGTAATTAACTCATATAGTCACCACACATTGGAAGTGACTTGATGGCAACTAACATCGCTGGAGGTTTTAACTTAATCACCAAGAAATTGTATCGTGACAAGATGGGTGGAATGACTGCAGCCTGGATTCTTTCCAAAATTAACAAAAAGCAGGTGGAACCAACCCTTCCCTTTCAGAATAAGCAAGATCCGTCTTTTCAATTGATTTGATCCGTTTTCAATCTGGGGAGATTTAGGGTCACTCGTTTCTGCATGGGGGGATAAAAGTTTTACTTTAAAAGAAATCATAACTCAAAACACCCCTGCTCAAACTTCCCCAAATTGGGCACAGAGCAAGACCAGATTAGCTGCTACCCCTGTGCCAAATCTGGTGCTGACCCAAAGTCCAGTTTGTTTCCTAATTTATTTGGGGGGGGGGCTATCCCCATTTTTAGAATGGCTTGGCAGACCCTTGGTTTGGTTTTGCCCGTACAACACCAACCCTGCTCTCCAGTGCAGTGATAATAACAAGGATGTTTGGACCAGAAAGCAGCCTCGCAGGGGTGGGGGGGCAGCGTCACAGCCAGGATCGCCCAGGCGGTTCCTCCCCGCAGAAGCCCGGCTGGTGCGCGTCTTTCACAATGTCTGCGCTTTGCAGATCGCCGAGGTAGGCGTGGTGGGAGGGCCGAGGGAACGAGCCAGCCAGAGTTTCCTGCTTTCGGCGGAGCTGGCGAGAGGCTGGGAAGCCGGAGCGCACCGGAGAGGCGGCTGCGATCCCTCTCCTCTCCGGAGGGGAAAGGGAGCCGGGGAGGGGGGCGAGGATCAGGGCCAGGAGGGGGGGCGGAAAGGCCTCTTCTCTCCCTCCCACCCCCCAATTTAAGCCGGAAGATCGCCGCCAGCCGGTTGCTGAGCCGCCAGCAGACAGAGGAGCGCCTGTCCTCCGGCTGGATGGAGGCGGCAGCGGGCGGCCGAGGATGGCCGGGCGCTGGCGGGGGGGACGGAGGCGAGGGC